ATCTTTACATTATATCCTTCTTTAAATCTTTCGTTCTTTTAAAATGGTAATTTGCATAGGAATAAAATATTTTTTAAAATAATCACGTTCCATCTCTTTATGTTTGCCATTTTTAAAATAACCTCTTTTCTTGTATGAATAAATTTCCTTTTTTATCACATATTTAAAAAATAATAATGATATCAAAATATAAAGTAAATTTTTATTTCTCAATTTTTTTCCTTGTTAATCTGTTTACAAAAAAAACACACGGTTGTAAATATATACGTTATATCCTCCTTTAAAGCTTTCCTTTTTTAAAATGCTAATTTTCATAGGAATAAATTACCTTTTTTTACACGGTTGTAAAAAAATAAAAAATTATCAATAACACCCTTTATGTTTCTAGAAAAAAACACACGGTTGTAAAAACATTGAATTCCTTCCTTTTTGGTCAGATTACAATGCATTCAATTGGTATAAATGAATTAGTGAGAAGTTTCCTTTAATATATCCTTCTAAATTGGTAATAATACACAACCAATTATAACCGCAGATCTTTTTCATACATTGATATCAACGGTGCAGGATTATAGTGCATTGGGCGGGAAAAAAATTCCCCTGCTTTTAAGAATAGAGTGATAATTTTCATAGGAATAAATTACCTTTTTTTACACGGTTGTAAAAAAATAAAAAATTATCAATAACACCCTTTATGTTTCTAGAAAAAAACACACGGTTGTAAAAACATTGAATTCCTTCCTTTTTGGTCAGATTACAATGCATTCAATTGGTATAAATGAATTAGTAAGAAGTTTCCTTTAATATATCCTTCTAAATTGGAAATAATACACAACCAATCATAACCGCAGATCTTTTTCGTACATTGATATCAACGGTGCAGGATTATAGTGCATTGGGCGGGAAAAAAATTCCCCTGCTTTTAAGAATAGAGTGATACCAAAGTAATTTCTATTTAATTGACATTTTATAGACATTTTCGGGAGATGATCATTTAGTGAATAAATTTAAATTATAAAAGATCAAAGAAATAATTATTCCTTATTGAGGACTAATTTGAAAACGACCGTTTTGAGAATTGTTATTCAAGGACCTCTGCTGTGAGCACTTCACGGATTAATTCATTGAAATGGTGCAATACAAACAAAGGTTAAGGAAAAGCATTTACAAGAAACCAATCCCCAGAAAAGATTAATTATATACTAACGTTGATCAACAATGGTATGTAAGATATATATGCTATGACATTGCCCAATGCTCACATTCACAGTGAAGAAGATCACCAAGTTCCCCAACTTGACCCTTAAACCTCACTCAATCTCCCCTCTTCAAATGGGTAGAAAATTGGGTTCAGATATGTATCTGCATTCAACGTTTTTGAATTGGCCCCACCGTCTTGCTTGTCCTTCTCCATTGCTTCCTGAAGATGGCGCAGAAGCGTTTATTTAATAACTAACGCCAAATGTATATGAATCAAGCAATGCAGTGGTGGGACATGACTATAAAAATGAACTAACTCTAGTTATCGCGACTTTGCAAATGCAATATCAACAGAGATAATGTTCACTGCCTGGTAAAATATAGTAATCGTGTTGTTACCTCGAGGGGATATGTTCTGAATGCAGGCTCAAATCGGCTCTTGCAATATTTGTGAAATGCAAAGGTCAGAAATGGCAACAGAATGAGCAAAGGAGTAGATTTGGCAGCCTTTTTTGTACTAAGCAAACCCATAAGGAGAAGTTGAGAAAGCACCAAGCTTGCTATTATGCGACCATGAACGTGTGGCCAAAATGCACCTGCACTCTCGTATTGCTGATCGTACACATTGATAACCTGCACACACACACACAGTACCAATTTCACTACTTTCTACTAATTAGTTATTCCAAAGTTCCAAAAAACAAAAAAGAATTTGTTAGCATATTTGCAAAAAACAAACCTGGTGACGGTACACAAGGTATGCGAAGGCAAAGAAGACGAGTATGAAAGGAAGAAGAATTGGAGTGACCACAGCGTAGACACTACCCAGAAGAAAGTACAGTTGCAGAGTGGAGAGAGTCCTATAGAAATTTACCCCACCAGGGTACATTGCGTTACGCTTGTCCTTTTCTGTTTTCGCAAACATTTTCAGAAGATGATAAACGAGAAAGGGTTTCAGCCTAAGAATCTCAAGAGCAATGACAGACCACCCATCAACCATTATGTATGTTATGAAGAATGTCGCTTTCATGGGTATTGATACTCCAACGTTTCTTGGTATTCTGCATTCTCAAATAACATCAAGGGATTGATCAACTCATGGGAAAATATGACATATTCTAAAGTGACTGAATAGAGGCAGTTAGCATATATTAGCCAAGCTAAAAGATAAATGCAGAAGAGATGGGTTTAGTGCATTACTGGGAAGCAGACTGGTGAAGAAATGCATTGAGTTGCTGGAAAGCCGTTCCTGCGACAATACTCCCAAAAAATATATTGATGAGAATGAAATAGTAATACTTTGCTGCTGCTGTCCTTTCTATCACTGATAATGCCACATGCCCCTCAATTTTAGACATGAACAAAAGAATGTCCGGTAGAACTAACAAGAAGATCTTAAGAGTTAAACCGGGAACGAAACCCTGTAGGAAAGACTTGATCACCTTCCTGCATGCATTATCATCATCCCATGGGAAATTAGTAGTGAAATCCAACTAACAACACAACGTAACGTACTGCTTTTCTATAGAAACAGAGATAGGATGCACTAACCATTCAATAAACGGCCTTAGGAAAGGCGCGACCTTTTCAAGACCTTCCAGATTTGCCAGAGATTGCACAAATGCAATAGGTATCATGTAAAAGAAGATCAAAGCAAATAACAGTATTGTCATCAACAGTCTCCGGAAACTCATAGAAAGAAATGACAGTGGCACATTCTTCCAACATATGTCTCGGGGCTCAGGGGCCCACCGTGTATGCCACTGTATAGGGTTCTTGCCATTCTGTGTCTGGGCACACACAGCTGCCCCCCATCGTGTACGGAACGAGACGAATGCAGCTGGAGTCATACACTTTGGGTCATTCATAATCTTGCTACGCATCTCGTCCAACTAAGACAATGGTAACACAAAATATTACCTCAAATGGATAATAATCTCGCAACAACAAGAAGAAATGGGTTGTTGGGATATGAATATGTACGATCACAATTTAAAGAGAAAAGGCGATAAATAATTACAAAGGGATTAAGAAATACTCCTGAAAAGTTGGAAATTTTAATTTTGTGTAAAAGTAATCAACTCCAGAATATATATCTTTGTGGCACAGATCAAAATAGAATACAGACATGTTCTTATGGGGTGCAGAGAGCAAACAAATCAAAAGGAGCCAGCAAGGAAACAGCTTACTTTGTCGTCCATTTTTTCACATTTCTTTGCATAAAACTCAGTGCAAGGAACTCTTCTACCCCAAAGTCCAAGAAAGCCTGACTGAAGAATATAGGAACATAATTAGAGAAATGATTTTGGCACCAGGTTGCTAACTAAATTGTATGTGAAACAGGGTACACACCCTCCTTGTTGCATACTGGTGAAAATCCATACGGTAGTACTCCACCCAATCTTGAAGCCGGCGTCGTTTCTTAACAGGTTTCGCCAAGCTCTTGACGTCATAAACAACCTAAACAAGGTGATGCCAGTAACATGTATATGGGATCAAGGGTAAACATTGAGTGGAAGACTGACACCGTACAAAAGACAAAAGGGACCGTATGGTATGATACCTTGTGGTGAAGATAGTGATCTGGGTAATTCTTCATAAAAAACTCCTCTAGTTTCTCAGATATCGATTTTAGAGGATCCGGTGGTATGTTCCGGACAAGTACCTGGTGTGCATTGGAAGAAACAACCACTCATAAAAGAGTAGAAGATTCAACATGAAGAATATGGAATCTTTGCAAAAAGATCAACAGACGCTCTATCCTAAATCAGTTGATTTTACTTTTGGTCCATTAACTACACAAACAAAGACATAAATAGTCCATCAATTAAGAGACATAAAATGATTTTTAACTCACAGTGAACTGTTCAGGACGATGCTGTCGCGAGGACAAAAAGTTGAGTCTCATTGATGCCACTCTCCCATATTCTTTGTATAGCCAAAAACATGTCCAAAATGTGAACAAATACTCCATTCCTATGTGCACAAAAAACCTGAATCGGACAAACCCGGACTTTTTAGTGCCAAACCCAACTAAAAACAAACAACTTAATTGGAAGAAGCACAGAAATGTATTTTAAGGAAGAATTAAAAAACCATGGCGACATACTTGGTAGATTTAGGGGTGACATTGGATATAGAGAAATTGTCAATCTCGCTAACAACGAGATCGTTGCTCAGGAAGAACAGTGTCGCATCAGAGGCATTCACTGGGATCAGAAACAACACGACCACAATTGCGGTCGGCCCGAATATCTTTAAACTATATGTATGTGTGTGTATATGCAGAAGATCGAAATTAAGATCATTAGTACTCATAGATGGTCACGATATTATATAGCAGAAACAAAAGTCCTACATTGGGAAATAAAAACATATGGTCCTATATTGAGAAAGTCATTATGTTTTAGTCCTATTTAGGTAAATTTTCTCAATAATAAAGCCCGAAGAAAACGGGGGATACATACCCAAGGGTATAAATCCTCAAGAAGACAGCGGAGTCGAGGCCGGCATGGTCGATGAGGTCATCCTCCTTCATCTTCCGGGCTTGGGGCATCCAGTTTAGGAAAGTGAGGTAACTCTTGAGATAGTTTCCGTCCTTCTTGTTATTCTTGGGGTCTTTGCTTCTCTCACTGTTGATTTCCCACTTGGGAAAGTACACCTTTTTGTTAATCGGCTGAATCCTTAGCAGAGCAAAAGCAATCAAGCAGGCTATGGCCACTCCCAGGTTTATCAGTGCCGATAACCCTATATCCGCCAATGTCGCCATTTTCTTTGTTTATTTTTTCCACATGTATGATCTGATCCCCGCCGCTCAGCAGATACCAGCTTAGCTTCCCTGCACATACATTTTCTCTTCTTTTTTTTTCTTCTGGAAATAAAGTCTGTTGAGATGAGATGAACTTCGAACCGTTGAAAGATGGCGGGGCGGGGCTGTGGTTAATGATTACGCGCTCTAGACAAAAGCGCCTTTGCGACTTTCTTTTTTACCCTTTTTTCCCTTTCTTACTTTCAATTTCAAAAGAAAAAAAAAGGTGAGCCCCAAGAACCAATGTTATTAGAACCGTACTCTGGCCCGGTTCAAATGTAAAACCCGGATCTGCATCGACCCGTACAAACCCGGTAGACCCGGCGGAACCGGTGAATCGGGTCGACCTGGCCGACTCGCGGGTCTCTTTCTAAAGTTTTTTTTTTAATTTTTTTGTCTATAAAATAAAATGATGAAGATAGGATTTGAACACTAGACCTCACCATACAACTCTCTAAGACTATAACCACTTAAGCTACTCAACACTTGTTAACAAAGTCATGCAGAATAGTATATACAGTATTTTTTATTTGTGTTGAGTGAATTAAAAAAACTTCAATTCTAACTTCTAACTATTTGTAAGAAAGATCATGTTTGTGTTGTGTGACTATTTTATAATCTTTTAAAGTATTTCAAAGTAAAAAACAAATATTATTTTTTGTATTAAATAATAATGAATAATTTATATCTAAACAAATAATATCATCTATAAAATGAAGAAATATATACAAAATATAATAAAATATGGAAAGTGTGAAAGAGTATATGAACAATGACATTGAAAATAACATGAAGAAGAAAAAAAATACAATTTTAAATAATTTATTTAACATTGAGAATAACATTTACATATTTCCTTAATATGTGTGTCCGATTCAAATGGAAAGATTAAATTTAGACGGAGGAAGTATGTGCTTCGTATTATTTAGAAATAATATGCATATTTAAGTTATGTGATAATATTTTATTATCTTTAAAAATAGTCCACAGAATATGGTATTATTTAATTTTTTATTATCTAAACATACATATGAATATTATATACTAAGTAATGGGTCGTTGACCTGAGTCAACCCGGTTCGACCGGTTGACTCTTGACTCAGTGGCTTGTCCGGTTCGATGTCCGGTCCGATTTTCAAAACATTGCCAAGAACTCGCCAGAGAATTGGAATTTGTAGACCTCTTATGCTTGGCATTAAGATATTAGAAATCACTTCGGATTAACCCCTTAGGCACTCCTTGTTCAACTAGCTACGCCGTGGGGAATTAGGCTTCCGTTCTACTATGATCTTATCTGATTTTTTGTAGTTCTGATTTGATCAAATTTGATTGGATCTGATCTGATTGGATTTGATCTGATCTAATTGGATCTGATCTGATCTTGTCTGATCTGATCTGATTAATTATGATTTGATTTAAGATTCAAATCAATAATTTGATTTGACTTTATAACAACGTTTGAAAATTGTAATGATAATTCATATTATAATATAATCAATATTGAGTAAATTCCATAATTAGTCCTTTATTATCAAATATTACCCCCGTAGTCCTTTTTTTAAGGGTACCTTTCCACAAATGGTCCTTTTTTGTTCTTCTGCCGTGTTGGTGTTAATTTAAAGGCTAAAAGTATAAATTGACATCAACATTATGTCTAGTGATGTGTTCTGATATTGGTTAAGCGGATAACACAAAAATAATGACTATGATTGTGGGCTAGGATTCTGACGAAAGATCACATTTGTAGACTATTGTTGTCGTAAAAAGCGACTGTAATTCACAAACGACGCAAATAGAACAGCCTTTGAAATTGTGTATGACAAAAAAGATATATATTATCATTGTGAAATTACACTTTTAGCCCTCAAATTAACACCAACATGATAGAAGATCAAAAAAAGGACTATTTAGGGAAAGGTACCCATAAAAGAAGAACCACTAGGATAATATTTGATAATAGAGGACTAAATAGGGAAACCCCCGTGTTATAAAGGACCAATTATAGAATTTACTCATCAATATTTTTTATTTATGATTATTTTTAATGAAATATAATTAGTTAATTCATATATTAGAATAATCATTCATATTATAATGTAGTAATATTTTTTATTTTATGATTATTTTTTTATGAAATAAGAATATTGATTTAATATTTTAATTGTTGGAATTTTTGGCATTTTTAATAGGCATTAAAAGGATCAACTTGGGTATATTTATCAATAGGTCCAGTAACGGTTTTAACCGTTAATTAATGGATGTGTGTTATCTTAAATGAGATAAATGTTTTGATAATTTATACGCCAAAAATGGTAGAGGGTGAATGAGAAATTGATTCTCAGAGTTAACCCGCCAATAGAAGAATGTGGTAAGGATTGCAATTTTTGCAATTTTACTGAACCAATCTTCTATTATTAATTTTACGTGTTGTTTAAATTAGTCCTTTTTACGGATATAACTAGCCATTAATCTCCAATTATTTGGGACAAATTTTAAACGGAGTGTAGCGTAACGGACGTGTTAATGGCTAATTAATCACCATTAACACGGTATTAAGTGTGCCACAAATTCCATAGATTTATGGTGTAGGAGTTACATTTTTTATTGGCTTGGTTATAAAATCAAAGGCTCTCTCCATTCTCTTCAGTGGTGGTTGTTTCATACGTGAGGAAGAAAAACAAATAAAGGAAAAGTACTTGTTTTTTTAGAGAGAGCTCGTGATTTTCTGGCCGAATTTCCGGCAATTTCCTTCAAAGTTTTTTGGTCTCCAACGTTCCTACGTTGTTCTTGTTCATTGGTGTGTGGTTGGTCCGTACAATTTTCCAATACGGTAGGCGGGCACTACTACCTTAAGGACAGCTCCGGCGACTCCGCTGTCCTTCCACGGTGTTTTTTGCAGGTTTAGTTCATAAAGACCTCGCTGCATTTTGCCCTAGCTAGGACGTAATGTCCTTGCATCCCAATGCATGACATCCTTGCTGTCCAGTGCATAATGACCTCGCTGTCTAGTGCGTAATGTCCTCGTTGTCCAGTGTTTAATGTCCTTATAGAACGAGGCTTTTTGAGAAGATATAGAGATTTATTTTCTATTCTTTTTATTTTGTAATATTCTGAATAAGTTATAAATTCAGAATTTTTTTTATTTTTATTACCGGGGCCGTTCATCTTCTCGTCCATTGTAATCCGTACAAAAATTGTAACAATCTTAAGGTAGTAGCCGTGCGCAATGGCGGGTATGGACGGATTCGGTTTTGACGCTCACACCGGAAACGGGAGTAGTTCCGAGACTCCGGTTGTGAACGTTTCGGCTGGATTGGCATGAGGTCCACTCCGATCACCACCTTCGTTGGATCGAGCGCGACTATGGGGTCCGCTCCGGTCACCTTGGTTATTGGACCAACCGCGGCTACGGCCGCAAAAGGTCACCCCACTCGGACCGAATATGGCTTCAGCCATACCGGTCATTCCCTCACTTGGACCGAACACGGGTGTCTTCACATCCGCACCAGTCGGACACTCTACTGTCTTGTTGTCTGCGAACTCTGTCAAAGAACTGGCAAAGTTCACAGGTGTTGGATTTAAAATATGGCAGCAAAGGATGTTATTTTGGCTGACCACCCTCAACCTTGCGAGGTACTTGAGGGAGGATTCCCCTGTTGTGGGGGAGAACGCGGACGAACCAACAGTTCAGGCTAAGGAAGCATGGATAGCGAATGTGGTGGAGCATCCACCCAAAGAGGGTTCTTCCAAAGGGCCCAACCGAAACAAGGACAAGAAGAAAATTGGTCCTAAAGGAGGCTATTTTATCTAGCAATTATTTGTTAAATAAAATACCACGAAAGAAACTCGTTAAGACTCTTTACGAGTTGTGGTATAATAGGAAACCTTCCTATAAATACCTGAAAGTGTGGGGGTGCCTTGCAAAAGTTTTAGCACCACCACCAAAAGAAAAAAAATAAATATTGGTCCAAAGACCGTTGATGGAGTACTCTTTATTGGCTACAGTGGTAGCGTGTATCGATTCTTAGTGTATAGGTCTGATAATCCAGAAATACACAAGAACATGTGGAAAGAGTAACATGTATAATGGTAAGTCTAGACATATTCGTCGTAGACACAAAACCATTAGAAAACTTCTCACAACTAGGATTATCACAATTGACTATGTGAAGACAAAAGATAATCTGGCGGATCCGCTAACCAAACGGTTAACAAATGAGTTGTATGAGAAGTTGGTAGCAGGAATGGGTTTGAAGCCCCTGTGCTAGGACAGTCCTATGAAGGAAAACCCAACCTGGCTAGTACCCAGGTTCAATGGGACAACCTACTTGTAGGATTAAGCGTACGTGGTCACTATGGGGGCGGTACCAGAACCTCCGGTCAGTCCCTTCTGTTCCTGCTAAAGACAGTGACTCCCAAAAATGATGAGGTTAGCATATAAATATGATTTAATGATTCTTAACCAATAGACACGATGGTCTAAGGGGAGTAATCGGGATACTTTTAAAGAATCACCTATGTTAGAGTGAAGTGTGGTCGCTTCAAACGGAGGATCTTGGGCTTAATCCTCTAAACACTCTCGCAGAACCAGGCGCGTGTCCCACGACCAAAATGGGCACAACCATGAGAACAGATCGACGTTTGGTTGAAATTTGTGTATAGTATACTAATGTTTACACAAACGGCAGTACAGTTCAAAGACATCATGTTCTACTGAACAGCCAGTAAAGAAGGTATACTTTACAAGGGACATGTTCAAAAGTGGAGACACTTACATGTTCTTTGAAGGTTTTCAACTGTGGGATGTTGTCGATCCCCAAATCAAATTTTCATTCATGTGGGGGATTGTTGGAATTTTTGGCATTTTTAATAGGCATTAAATGGACCAACTTGGGTATATTTATCAATAGGTCCAGTAACGGTTTTAACCGTTAATTAATGGATGTGTGTTCTCTTAAATGAGATAAATGTTTTGATAATTTATACGCCGAAAATGGTAGAGGGTGAATGAGAAATTGATTCACAGAGTTAACCCGCCAATTGAAGAATGTGGTAAGGATTGCAATTTTTGCAATTTTACTGAACCAATCTTCTATTATTAATTTTACGTATTGTTTAAAATT